GTGCTTACTATTTTGAGGTATGTTCCTTCTATACCTAGTGTTTGAGGGTTTTTAAAAAAAAATTTATTGATTTATTATAAAGATGTGGGGTACAATTAAGGGTTAGGTATATAAATATCAATCATGCAGGCACCCTTGTTGATGAGATATGCCCCTCCCTCCCCTAGCAGTTTCCCTCGACTGCCAGTCCCACCCCCGCTTCCCTGACAGTTTTCGACTACTGCCAATTGCTTTCTTAAAGCATTATAATTGTTTGAGGTCACCTTGAGTGAGAACATATGGAAATCAGATCTTTGTTTCTGTGATAAATCAGAGTATGATCGACTCCAAATCCATCCAAGTTGCTGCAAAGTCCATATATTTGTCCTTCCTTATGGCTGCATAATATTCTATTGTGTATATGTACCACATTTTAAAAAATCCAGTCCAGTTTAGTGTTTGAAGGTTTTTATCAAGAAGGGATGCTGGATTTTATCAAAAGCTTTTCCTGCATCTAATTGTATAATCATGTGGTTCTTGTTTTTACATCTGTTGAAGTATTTAACGACATTTTTTTTTTTGAGTTGCAGTCTCACTCTTGTCACCCAGACTGCAGTGCAATGGCCGCTCCCGGCCACCGCAGCCTCGACCTGCTGGGCTCCGGGGATCCTTCTGCCTCAGTCTTCCAAGTAGCTGGAACTACGGGCGCGTGCTACCATGCCTGGCTAATTTTTGATTTGTTGTAGAGATGAGGTCTCGTCAAGTTGCCCAGGGGGGTCACGAACCTGCGGGCTCAGGCAATCCACTCACCTCAGCCTCCCAAAGTGCTGGGATTACAGGCAGAGTCACCGAGCCCGGACGTATTTAATCACATTTATGGTCTTGTGGATACTGAACCAGCCTTACATCTTGGGGGTGAAGCCTACTTGGTCATGGTGGATGATTTTTGAGATGTGTTTTTGGATTCTATTTGCTAGAATCTTGTTGAGGATTTGTGCCTCTATGTTCATAAGGGATATTGGCCTGTAGTTCTCTTTTTTTGTTAGATCTTTACCCGGTTTGGGTATCAGTGTGTTGTTAGCTTCGTAAAATGATTTGCTAGCACTGTTTTTTGAAAAGCCTTGGCAACTTGTCAGTTGACTATAAATATGAGCATTTATACCTGGATCCTCTATTCTCTTTGATCTATATGTCAATTCTTAGCCAACACTATACTTATTTGCTGTAGTTTTATAGTCAGTTTTAGAAGCAGGTACTGTAAATCCTTCAGCTTTGCTCTTCAAAAAAAATGTTTTGCCTACTAGAGGTTCTATGCACTTTCCTATAAATTTTAGCATCAGCTTTTCAAATTCTACAAAAAAGCCACCTGAGAGTGTGATGGTGAATGTACTGAATCTCTAGATCAATTTGAGAACTGCCACCTTAACAATATTGCATCTTCAGGCTGGGTGCAGTGGCTCATGCCTGTAATCCCGGCACTTTGGGAGGCTGAGGTGAGAGGAATGCCAGAGCCCATGGGTTTGAGACCAGCTGGGTAACTCGGTGAGACCTTATTTCTACAATAAATCAAAAAATTAGCCAGGCATGGTGGCGCGTGCCTGTAGCTCTGGCTACTTGGAAGGCTGAGGCAGAAAGATCACCTGAGTCCAGCTCATCAAGGCTGCAGTGGCCATGAGTGTGCCACTGTACTCCAGCCTGGGTGACAGAGTGAGACTCCAACTCAAAAAATATATATATATTGCATCTTCTAATCTATGATCGTCGTCTATTTGTTTATTTATTTATATCCTTAACTTCTCACAGAAATGTTCTGTAGGTTTCATTATACAGGTGTTATACTTCTTTACGTTTATTCCTATTTTGTTTTTAGAGGCTATTATAAATGTAATTGAAGCCTTGATTTCATTTTGAATTACTTGTTGATCACATACAGAAATACAATTCAGTTAGCTTTGTATATTGATTTTGTATTCTATAATATGGCTAACCACGTTATAAGTTCTAGTACATTTTCTTTTTCTGCCTTACTCATAATTTCTACCTATAGTATCATGTTGTCTGAGAATAAAGGGTTTTATTTCTTCATCTCCAGTCTGTATGTCTCTTTTTCTTGCCTTCTCTTATGTACAATCTTTAGAATAATGTTGAACAGAAGCAGTGAGAGTCACACATCTTTAAAAAAAAAAAAAATCAGAATTTTGAGGATTCTGACCCCTACATATTTTGGGTAAGGACTTGGGGACCCGTGGTAATGCACATGATTGTTGGGAGGTTAAAATGAGGTACCACATATAAAATGCGTAGTGCAATATCCAGCACAAGTCAGTCCTCATGAAACGTTCGCTTTTAGAAAGAGAATGTTACGTTGGCTGGGCATGGTGGCTCATGTCTGTAATCCCCGCACTTTGAGAGGCTGAGGCAGGAAGATTGCTTGAGGCTAGCGGTTTAAGACCAGCCTGGGCAAGGTAGCCAGACCCTATCTCTACAAAGATAATAAGACAATTAGCTGGGTGTGGTGGGACCCCTCTGTATCCTAAACTATTTGGGAGGCTAACTTGGGAGGATCACTTGAGTTTAGGAGTTTGAGGCTGCAGTGAGCTATGATGGTGTCACTTCACTCCAGCCTAGGCAACAGAGTGACACCCTGTCTTTAAAAAAAAAAAAAAGATGACAAGATAGAAAGAGAATCTTGTCTGGCTACTGGCAGGCTAGCATCCGGGATCAGAATATTGCACTGAGGACTGGACCTATGACTCAGAGTGGGCTCAGGTGGCACTTGATGGCTGATGGGGTGGTTCTTTGTGGCTTGTCCCCAGCATGAGTCAGCACAATTTTTGTCAGCGTCCTCAGGGATTTTTGGTGTTGTGGGAACTCTGCCATGCCCAGCATGCTTGTGGCGACAGAGAAACACACATAACGTGGAAAGAGTGGACCCAGGAATGCCGAATTGTGTAAAAGCTCAACTGTTGTAAGAGGATGAGTATCAGGAGGAAATTATTTGGGTGTAGACCTTTTTTTCTGAGTCTCACTCTTGTCGCCCAGGCTGGAGTGCAGTGGCACACTCACGGCCACGGCAGCCTCAGCCCACTGGGCTTAGGTGATCCTTCTGCCTCAGCCTTCCCAGTAGCTGGAACTACAGGCGCACGCCACCATACCTGGCTAGTTTTGTGATTTATTTTAGAGACGCGGTCTCGCCAAGTTGCCCAGGTTGGTTTCCAATCCATGGGCTCAGGCAATCCTCTCACCTAGGCCTCCCAAAGTGCTGGGATTATAGGCTGAGCCACTGTGCCCGGCCTGTATATGTTATTTCAAAACCAAGAAAAGAAATCTTCATCATTTTCAGTTGCACTGCTACCTCCTTTCTCAAAGATTTGTTCTAGAGGCTGCAACGGTGGCTCATGTCTGTAATCCCAGGACTCTGAGAGGTCGAGTTTGAAGGATTGCTTGAAGCCAGGAGTTTGAGACCAGCCTAGGCCACACAGCAAGACCATCTCTAGACCAAAAAAAAAAAAAAAAAAAATTAAAAAAAAGGTTTATTCCAGAAGGTGATCGTTATACTTGTTGAGGGACTTGAAGTTTTTGGTGGTAGGAGTGACGGCTGGGATGAGGAACAGATACATGAAATGAAGAAGGGATAGTACTGTGATGGAGTCTTAGCGGCACCTTCAACCTCGCTGGGATTTAGCATTTCTCTTGTTTAGAGGGTGATCCCAGCTGCTAACTTCCTCCAGGGGATGGGGAGTATAAACGTGGCCACAGGAGGCGGTGATCAGTCGTCTGTGGTGCTCTGCTTGCTGTCAAGTAGGGTGCAGACACAAGGTCACTCAGTGGACACAGGTTGTCCCTGTAAACGCCCGCACCTGTCTTCACTAACTTCTTTGAGGGAGGACTCTTGGACACATAAAAGTAACCTGAATAACGAAGGAACGTCCTTCATATCGAGGATAGGACACATCAACAGAGATCTTAGCATCTAAGCCAGGAACTGTAGGGGGTTCTCAATTGTTTTCAGTAGTAAACCAGTTTCAAGGAACTTCCACTCTTTATTTGTCATCACAGTGCTTTAATGGAAAAGGTTCTGTTACGTTGTAATTACCATTATTACTAAGATACAAAAACTGGCATTCAGTAGAAAGGGCCCAAAAGACTGGCTTCTTCTCTGAAACGCAGATTCATCAACAGTCTCACGCAAGGGTTCTAGAGATAAAAACTGGCCAGTATTATTCTAAGTAAAATAGAACAGAAAGTCAAAACCACACGTCCTCACTTGTAACTGGGGGCTCAGCAGTAGGTACACAGGGACAGAGAGAGGAATAACAGACACTGGAGACTCCAAAAGGCAGGAGGTGGGAAGGGGTGAGGGTTGAAAATATATCTATTGAGTAGAATGTTCACTATTCGCAGCTTGGGTGTGGTGGCTCAAGCCTATAATCCCAGCACTTTGGGAGGCTGAGGTGAGAGGAATGCCTGAGCCTGCGGGTTGGAGACCAGCCTGGGCAACATGGTGAGACCTCGTCTCTACAATAAATCAAAAAATTAGCTGGGTGTGGTAGTGCCCGCCTGTAGTTCTGACTACTTGGAAGGCCGAGACGGAAGGATCACCTGAGCCCAGCAGATTGAGGCTGTGGTGGCTGGGAGCATGCCACTGTACTCCAACCTGGGCGACAGAATGAGACACTGACTCAAAAAAAAGAAAAAAAGTTCATTATTTAGGTGATGGGCACACTAAAACGCCCAGACTTCACCACAACACAATATATGCATGTAAGAAATCTGCACTTGTACTCCCTAAATATATTTTTAAAATATTTTTTTTACATTAAAAAAAGACCAAAACAAAAAAACTGGCCGGGCATGGTGGCTCACACCTATGATCCTAGCACTTTGAGAGGATTGCTTGAGGCCAGTAGTTTGAGATGAGTCTGGACAACATAGTGGGACTCTGTCTCTACAAAAAATAAAAATTAGCTGGGCATGGAGGCACATGCCTGTAGTCCCAGCAACTTAGAGGAGGGTGAGGTGGAAGGATTGTTGAGTCCAGGAGTTTTGAGACTGCAGTGCAAGAGCCTGACTCTAAAAAAAGAAAAAAAAAAAAGAGAAAAACCATAAAACACAATGCAGATGTGGTAATATCAGAAGTCATTCTTTGCATTCTTTATACATCAGCTCCTTCTCTTCACAGTTCTGTTTCTCATGTGGACGTCCAAAGATAGTTTTGGGAGCTGTGTGCAGTCGTCATGAGCTAGTGACGTCTCCTTCACTGTGGCAAGAAGTAGTTTTCAGCAGCACAAACCTTGTGCTGAGTGACGGAATCTAGAGAGAGCAAGAGCAGAGCAGTTTGGTGTTCATTAGCCAGCCACACAGTAAAGCAACTGCCTTTTCACATACACACAACCATATTTTAAAACTCTTGAATGGTTAAAAGCTACATTGCTCGTAAGTCCACCTGTACAAGAAGCATGCCCAGCTTTTCACATTCAAATGACATACGATTCAATCAAATAAAGTATCCTATTTCTCCGTCACACTGGCTGCAGTTCAAGTGCTCAGTAGCTATGTGTCCTATTAGATCGGACACAGAGGACATTCCCAATCTGACAGCACATTCTGGTGGGCAGGGGAGGGGAGTCTGCCAACTGATGACACAGGAGACTGGAATTCTCATTCCAGTTAGCTACCTCAAATATTCTGGGACAAGGCAGAGTATACATAAATATATCAATGGCTTTTAATTGTGCCATTAACGGCTGCTGTGTTAACCTGTCTATCTAGCACAGGTGTTTTATATCAAGTACAAAGTTAATAAGCACACATCCTAAAACTCGGTTCTTCGTAGTTCAATTGCAGAAGGTGAATGGTGACCTCTCAGGTCTCATCAGTTTGAAACTCGAGTATTTTATGAAAATTCCAGTTGCACCTGGTCCAGGAGGGAGCTGCAGGTGCAGCTGGATGGGTCAGCACAGGTGTGCCAGCCACCGGCCGGAAACAACCCTTCCCCCGCTTCGTCCTGGAACCTCACTGCTTGCCATTCTATTCCTATGACTAGAATGAAGAGAAATGTAATGGATCATCAGCACTGACTGGATTACAAAGTGGGTTAAATTAAAAAGTTGCAGTTATAGTGTAGTAAATTATAATTATGCAATTATATGACTCGATAGTTATACCTGAAGGACCTTTAGAAGTTACATTGATGAGCAAGGAAAGATGGAATGCATACCACTGGTGATGTGGTATAAAGAAATGTGTTTAAGGCCAGGCACGGTGGCTCATACCTATAATCCCGGCACTTTGGGAGGCTGAGGTGAGAGGACTGCTGGAGCCCATGGGTTTGAGACCAGCATGAGAAACTTGGCAAGACCTCATCTCTACAATCAATCAGACAATTAGCCAGGCGTGGTGGCACGTGCCTGTAGTTGCAGTTACTTGGAAGGCTGAGGCGGAAGGACCACCTGAGCCCAGAATGTGCCACTGTACTCCAGCCTGGGCAACAGCATGAGAATCCAACTCAAAAAAAAAAAGAATGTTAAAAATAACTATATAAATAAATAAAGAAACGCACTTATTCTATAAATAATGTAAAAGTGGAAGAAAAAAATGGCTCATATCAGGTTACAGCTCAAGATTGTGTCCCAGATTTTTTGTTTTTGAGTCAGGGTCTCACTCTGTCACCCAGGCTGGAGTGCAATGACACAAACAAAGCTCACTGAAGCCTTGACCTCCTGGGCTCAGGCGATCGATCCTTCCACCTCAGTCTTTCAAGTAGCTGGGACTAGAGGTGCGCACCACCACACTGGCTAATTTTAAAAATTTTTTGTAGAGGTGAGATCTTACTATATTGCTCAGGTTGGTCTCGAACTCCTGGGTTCAAGCAATCCTCCCACCTCGGCCTCCCAAAGAGTTGGGATTACAGGTGTGAACCACCGTGCCCAACAGCGTCCCAGAATTTAACTGTTGCCATCTCATGACAAATGTGCTACCACACAGGAAGTGTGAGCTTGTGAGGAAGTCTCAAATGAATTTCCAAAGGGAGGAACACTAACATTTGTGCCATATACTAAAATACAATTATTGTTAGTACCAGGTATATTACTTCTCTCCACAACAGTGAAACAGGTATTATTATTTATATTAATATTAGTATTTTATTTGTGATATATGTTGCATATATTTTCTCTCAGTTTGTAATCTGTCTTTTGACTTTTCTTATGCAAACTTTGGCCACACATAGGTTTCCATTTTTTATATATTCAAACCATATCAACGTTTTGTTTTGCTGCATCTAGTTCTTGGGACATGGGTAGGTAAAGAGCCTTTTTCCATATTCAAGTTATAAAATAATTCAGCCACCTTTTTCTGCAGGCTGTAAAAATTCTATGGATTCAATTTTTATACTTAGATTTCTGACCAGGTGTCATTTTTGAAGATCAGAAATGATGATGGTCTTTCTTTCTTTCTTTTTTTTTTTAATCAATATTTTTTATTTTGATATTATGGGGTACAGTTAAGGGTTAGGTATACAAATATGCTTCATTCAGGCCCCCTTGTTGATAACAGGTGTCTCCACGTCCCCAGACAAATGTTTACTACCATTAGTCTCACCCCTCCCCATAGTTTCCCACCACTGTCAGTCATTTTCTTATAGTAGTGCATTGGATGATCAAGGTCCACTATATGACTGAGAATATGTGATACTCAGATCTTTGTTTCTGTGAGAGGTCACTCAGTATTATAGACTCTAGCTCTATCCAGGTTGCTGCGAAATTCATGATTTTGTTCTTTTTTATGGCTGCATAGTATTCCATTGCATATATGTATCACATTTTTTTAATCCAGTCCTCTTTTGATGGGCAGTGTGGTTGGTTCCAGGTTCTTGCTATTGTGAACAATGCTGCAATAAACATTCGTGTGCAGGTATCTTTTTTATAGAGTGATTTGAGTTCTTCAGGGTATATTCGGTCTTTCTTATCTAAAAATTCAATATAAATCCAAAATTCCAATATTTTAAAAGAGAAAATTGACATGTTTATTCTGAAGTTTATATGAAATATAGAGAAAATATACAGGAAGACAATTTTATTTATTTATTTTGAATTGGAGTCTCACTCTGTTGCCCAGGCTGGAGTGCAGTGGCACACTCACTGTCACTGCAGTCTCGACTGCTGGGCTCAGGTGATCCTTCTACCTCAACCTTCTAAGAAGTTGGAACTACAGGCATGTGCCACCGTAACTGGCTATAGGAAGACAATTTCAAAAAAGAGGATTATTGAGAAAGAATTTGACATATAAGATCCCAAATAAAACAGTCCATATAATTACCAAAGTAAAACAGTATGTTAGTAGAGAACAGACAAATAGATCAGTGAAAGAGTATGGCCAGAAACACACATACACATAGGTGGGAATTTAAGAGACGATTCGATCAGTGGAGAACAAACGAGTTATTTAAAAAATGACATGACCTCTGATATTATATGATACATAAAATGCAAATGGAAGCCGGGCTCGGTGGCTCAGCCTGTAATCCCGCGCCTTTGGGAGGCTGAGGTGAGTGGATTGCCTGAGCCCGCGGGTTCGAGACCCGCCTGGGCAGGCGAGACCTCATCTCTGCAATAAATAAAAAAATTAGCCGGACGTGGTAGCGCACACCTGTAATTCCAGCTACTTGGAAGGCTGAGGCGGAAGGATCGCCGGAGCCCAGCAGGTCAAGGCTGCAGTGGTCGGGAGCGGCCACAGCACTCCAGTCTGGGTGACAGAGTGAGACTCCAACTCAAAAAACAAAAACAAACAAACAAAAAAATGCAGATGGAGTAAAGCTCTAAATACTTTTTAAAAAATCATAAATAGGGCTGGGTGTGGTGGCTCACGCCTGTAATCCCAGCACTTTGGGAGGCTGAGGCAGGTGGATTGCTTGAGGCCAGGTGTTTGAGACCAGCCTGTGCAACATAGCCAGAGAGCATCTCTACAAAAACAATTAAAAAATCAGCTGGGTGTGGTATTGCATGCCTGTAGTCCCAGCTATTCGGGAGGCTGAGATGGAAGGATCGCCTGAGCCCAGGAGGTCGAGGCTGCTGTGAGCTGTGATCGTCGTGATACTGCCACTGTACTACAGCCTGTGCAACAGAGTAAGACCCTGACTCAAAAATCAAAACAAAAGAAAACATAAACAGGAGATGCAGAGACTATTTTTGAAGCTAAGGGAATGGGAAAGATGTTTTTAAGCAATCACTAAATTTAGATGCCATGAAGGAAAAGCGGTATTTAATTTTATAAAAAATAATAATTAAAAATGAAAACTTTGGTAATACTTATGACACCATAAAAAAAGACAAGAGACAGATAACTTTATAACATTTATAACAAAAGATTAGTGTATTATTTAAGTATTGCTGTAAAACAATGTGAAAAAGATAAATAACCCAATTTTAAAACAGGCAAGAGATAAGGATGAACAAATCATGAAATAGAAACTCCTTCTCTAAGATATTTATATTTATTAGTAATTTAGTAATCAGGGAAATATACATTCAATAATGAGATCTGTTTTGTTTTAAGACACTCATCAGATCACCAAACACTGAAAATATGGGCAATGCCCCGTATTGGCGAGAGTATGAGGAAATAGGAATTTATATACTGTTAGTTATAATGTAAATTGGTGCAGCCTTGTGTGTAAAAATTTAAAGTACACATAACCGAGGGCATAGTAAATTCTACAAGTTTCTATAAATTCATTTTATAGAATGAATTGGGATTGGGCTATAATAATTATAGCGCAAGACAATCTTTTAATTTTTTTTTTTTTTTGTACAGATGAGGTCTTGCTATGTAGCCCACGCTGGTCTTGAACTCCTGGGCTCAAGCAATTTTCCTACCTCGGCCTCCCAAAGTGCTGGGATTACAGGTTTGAGCCACTGTGCTGGACTGAAATTGAATTTAAGTTATTCGGGTTAGAAACACACACACACACACACCACGCACATACAGAATTTAAAAGAGCAGAAGCCAGTGCTGTGGTGGTGCATGTTTGCAGTCCCAGCTACTTGTGAGGCTGAGGGAGAAAGACTGCTTGAGCTCAGGAGTTTAAGACCAGCCTGGGAAACACAGTGAGACCCGGGCTCTAAAAATGAATGAATAAATAAAATAGCAGGTAGGCCGGGCACAGCGGCTCAAGCCTGTGATCCCAGTACTTTGGGAGGCAGAGGCGAGAGGACTGCCTGAGCCCAGGGGTTCGAGACCAGACTGAGTAACTTGGTGAGACCTCGTCTCTACAATAAATCAAAAAATTAGCTGGGGATGGTAGCGTGCACCTG